TTCAAGTAGTTTTGCTAGCGATTAATACAAAATAGAGATTTCTCTAAAGAAGTGCTGCCTAATCTGATAAAAAGCTTTTGATATCTGGATTGATATAGTCCACAGACACACTTGATATTTCGTAAGTATAAGCCTTTCAAGATGATTTTTGTATAATGTGCATAAACAAATATGTTACACAAAAAATCATGAATATTGTACGCGTGAAAACAGTTACTAGATTTAACGAGAATCAATCAGTTAAGTTTCCTGAAAAATATAGAAATGCATGAAAACGCGTTAATATGTTTAACGCATGAAAATGAATACCAAGTTTAATGATATTTAACATGGTAAGATTGGTTAAAAATAAAAAAACTCAAGAAATATCGTTAAACTTCTTAACGCGTGAAAATGAATGCAGCGTTTAACGATATATAAAGAGTTAGTTATAGTTAAAACGACAATCACGCGTGAAAAAGCGTGAAAAATCTAACGCGTTTACACGAGTTTTCGGAATATAACGAAAGGTCATGAAATTTTCTTCGTAAAATTTCGTTAATTTGTCTTTTAACGCATTTTTTTGTGCTAATTTCAAGAATCATTTCGTTAAATACCTTTTTATTTTTACATGGGCGTTCTCATTACGATGTTCATGTATGATGGCTGTTGTCACTGTTGTTGTTTTCAAATTCTTCAAATATCGAATCGAATCATGTATCAACAATTTGTTGATGAGACTAACAATACCCAAAAATATAATGATAAAAAATGATAAAATAACAATATCAATTAAACACCATATTATCAATAAGTCAGTTGAATGGCGATAAATAATAACATTAATCACCGCCGTTGCAATTATTAAAATATCGATAATTAGAGCACATCCCATTGTTGAAAGAAGTATGTGATATGGATCGATGTCTCGTTTAACTGACCGAAAGAGAGAAAGAAAATATTCGAGATTATTCGAATCACGTAAATTCAGAAAGTACGATATTTCCGGATCAATCGCTTGCATTAACTCAATACTATGTAACAGTTTTCTCAGAACAGCATAACTAGACCAATATCGTGCTATACTTAACATCATTACAAAAATTAATGCAGTATAAAAAAAAACGAAAGCGAAATGTATGATATGCGAATACAAGTAATTTGCCAAGGGATACATATCGATATTTCATTCTTTGTTCGAAACCGATAAATTGTTGGAATAAATGGATGTAGTATGATAATAACAAGAAAAAAAATGATCATTAATCAAATAAATGCAAAATGAGAACAGTTTGATACAAAATCCTTGCAAATCGTCTTGAATTCTTTTAAACTGAATGATTCGGTAATTGATTCATGATTTAAGATCGGGTGCATTTGTTCTTCACTTACAAACATCATAATATGAGGGTGTGGGCGGATGGGTGTGGGTTTTGACAATATGCTATTGACACGTCCACACACATCCACAGTACCCACCCACACCAATATCCGCTATCTGTTTAATGCATTTTTTTTCTAGAGAAAACGAATATTCTAGAGATGCGTTGAAACGACAAATTCAATTTATGTGATTTGAGTAAGAGAATGTGAGTGTAGTTAAAGGCAAGAGTAAAACCTACAGCCACATTCATCCATATACAATATTCTGGTAACTCTGATAGACTTTTTTTACAAAGCGGTTAATATATATATATCATTGAATCTTTCTACATCTTAAATAAGATGGCTTCTACTTCAGTATAAACGATTAACTCTACGTTCTTTTTGTATAGCAGTAGTTAAATCGAAAAAGAATAAAGTGATAGTGCCTATATGCCTATCGCCTTTTCAGTCTAATTTAATACAATACAATCGTTTCTTTTTCTTTTTCAACACTGTCTTCGTGTATAGTCCGTTCATGAGTTGGATATATTGTTCTTTATGAAACGAACAACAATAACCCGTTTAGTAGCTGTACAGCAGATTTAGTTAACACATCGTATTTTAATATACCTAATAATTCTATTTGATGATTTTTTTTTTATAATTTTTTTTTCTATTTATAAATATCTTCGAAGGAGTTTTTTGAATAGTTTCACTTATTCATTAAAACAAAACACATCATTTTTGTATAGATGGCACCACCATTGTCTGCTTGATTATGTGTTTTCCAGAGCTGAATCAGTATCACTAAAATAATTTTGAATTTATACATAGAAAAAAAAAGAGATTTTCTTGTAAAAATAATTATGCCATGAAAGTGTTATGTTAGTTTTAATTGTTCATTATTAAATTGTCAAGTTATTTATTCTTTGAGATCGAATTGAATTTGCGCAGAATAATTTTTTCCCTGATCCTTTTTTATCTTACTAAACCTCTTGATGTCCTAATCCTGATATATTCTTCTTCTCCTATACTCTGACTAATATCCCCTTATCGTTTTCTTTGCTTTATCTTGACTATTATTCCTTCGCCCTTTCGCGTCAATCCTTTCTACTATCAAATCACCCTTCCTTTTATTTTACTCTGATTATTATTCCTTCACCATTTCGTCTGTTTTATTCTCACTATTATCCAATCATTCTTTTCTCTGTTTTACCACAACCATTGTCCTTCACATCTTTGTCTGTTTTTCTCTAACTTTTGTCACCTCGCCTCATTGTCTGTTTTGTTGACACTATTATCCACGCGTCCTTTAGTTAGTTTTACTTTGAGTATACTGTAACGAAAAATAATGATAGAAGAGAAGATTGTGTAGATGAAGATACACTTTATCTTCCATTTCTTCATATCATATTATCGTCATGTGACGATTAATGATAGAAGGGTTGTTAGTGTTGATGGTATTACACTTTAGTTTATTCCTTCATATCATACAATCGCCTCGTTTACATATAAAGCACACGTTTATATACATGAGTAGAACAAGCGATGATAAAAAGATAGAATATGAGGTCAAGGAGAGAACAACGTAAGAATAAAGAGGTGGTGAAGCCAAGGAGAGAACGCATATAGAAGAACAATAGAGTAAGAATATAACGTAAGAATAGATAGGTGAGAACAATACATATAATATACTAGTGAGTGACGATATAAAATGAGAAGAAGGTTGAATCATGCATATATGATCGTAACCTTAACCCGATTATGAACACTAAGTATCATTGACTGTGTAGTAACACACTGAGAAAGAAAAGATATCACATAAGATAAGATGCCTATTGGCACATATACCCTTCTCCTTTTTTGTAATAATGTTACAGATAAAGGTGTAGTCTGCTTTTACCTGGCCCTTGAAAAGTCACCAAAAATTATACTTTTGCTTCTTTCCTCCCAGTGTTAGTTGTTTTACATATTTTACCCTAAAGATGTATCTCATTCATTCGCATCACTCTACTTGACATTTCTTCATAGCTTCATTCTCCAGATTTACGAAAATTTTTTCTAGAGAAGTGTCGTTGTTATGGTACAAGAAATCGAAATACTTAATATACTCCAATATCTCTTCCTATTTAGTTTTATAATGAAATCTTGCGTTAGGTTGTTGTAGGTATTGATAATACAAGATTCATTTCTTACTTGTGGTTAGCATTTTTTTCTACAGAAGAAGGCATTAGAGTATGTTAGGTATTTCGACTTCTTGCACCGTAAAGACGATACTTTAGAAAAATTTCATAAATCTGGCGAGCGAAGTTATTGAGAAATGTTAAGTAGAGTGATCCGAATGAATGAAGTACATATTTAGGGTAAAATATGTAAAACAACTTATGCTGAGATGAAGGAAAAAAAACTACTCCGTTAAACCCGTTAACATAGAATGGGGTGGTATTATATGGATAAAACACGTCGTAGTGGACGTGTTTTGGTTGATATGTAGCCGTTTTTACCGATAAAGGGATGCGTTTGAACGCGTTTTAGAACCTGCGTTCAACTTCTAGCGAAAACATGTGAACACAAAAATAAAGGAGTTGAAACGCAAACTTTAAAAAGAAAATTACGTGGGCAGTAACATCAACAGCTTCTTGGTATCTTTCAGGTAGATTTTCGTATTGCATTGTATAGAAATGATATTTATTTGTCTCAACAATTGTCTGCATCAGATGATGGTCAAGTATCAAACAAAAATATCTAATGGTCTATTTTCATCGTTTTTTCGTAAATATGAATTGATACCAGCGTCATTTGAATCCAATATAATTTTTTTTTGGCTCAAACCATTCTATTCTCCATCTTCGCTCTTCGGCAGATCCTTCTGTATCCTGTTCCTCGTCTTCACTATCCGATTCGTTGTCAAAGTCATAAGTAGAATCACTATCTAATTCATCTTCTAATTCAGAATTCTTAAAAGCTTCCGTAACATCTAAACCACTTGTACTACTAAATGCCATAATAATGCAGAAAAAAAATTCAAAATATGAAAACCGAGTGATTATAATGTTTTAAGTTGATTAATAACAACAATTGTTGTTATCGTCTCTTCTTTAATATTATTTTGTCGAACCGCCGTATATTATCTATATGAGAAAGGTACCTTCTATGTATACTACTTCAACAGAACATTCTCGAATGCTAATTAAACTGATTGGTTCCATATGAACCAATGATAGTGCTTACGAAAGATACTCCCAGTGTCTACAGTATGTCACTAATGAACTTCATCAAGTTATTCTTACATACTATAGTTGGAACTAGTGAGTAATTCCATTAATAGCCTATTCAAATTTTGAAACTGAAAATTTACGGACTTCGCCGCCAACAAGTTAATCACCAACTTTTTGCGAAATTCGATTAATCGCGATTTTACGCTGATTTTTTTCGAAATCGCCAAAATCGCAACGATTTTTACAACATGGGTACAAATGCTCTCAGTTACGTTGGCGATGATATGACACAATTTGGCAAAGAAAGACACTATATACAAGCGAACAACTTAAACTTGCTATCTTCTATGTAAAGAGCAGTGATCTTTGTCTAGTCAGTAAAACTAGCATTGAGTTATCTGATTCAGTCTCCGACATACACGTGAGATGGACTGAGATGTATGGGTCAATACCGTCTCAGCCGGGCCTCTATTTACCAGCTCAGACTTGCTAAAATAACTTACCTTTGCTATATTTCTTATCTGTATTGTAGATGGGTATGCTACATGTTTCATGACGTAATTGTTT